AATTTAACTTGAATATTCTTACTTTTGGAAACCTACTACTACTGTTTCTAGAAGTAGTAATTTTGATAATAGTCAATAGAAAAAATATAACCACACACACATTGTTTGTCCACAGAATAATTACACATTATTAAATAAAAAGCGTCCCCGCACGAACCTCTACCTCCGCCAGCAGGAAGTCATAATAATGAGAAACTAAGTCATAATAATGAGAAACTAAGTCATAATAATGAGAAACTAAGTCATAATAATGAGAAACTAAGTCATAATAATGAGAAACTAAGTCATAATAATGAGTTAATCCGCTGCTTTGCTTCTGTGAAAATTAATAGAGACAGCAGCCTTAAACTTTGTTTTTGTCATTTACATCAGTTATATTTGTATAAAATAGGCTACACTATATATTTTTGTGTCAGTACATTAATGGCACATTTGAGCAGCTATTAGTAAACTGTGTAAATATAAAGAAATGCCAAATCACATGCAGGTTTTTTCAGACCGTAATCGTGTAATAATTCATTTTAATATGATATGAAACGTCCCATTTTTCTTTCAATAATGTTTTTTAAAGTTTTGCAAGAATTTCGTGATAAACTTTGTATTAGTCGTCATAGAAAGTGATTTTAAAAGTAGGATGGCTCACTTTTTTATAAGATGACTGAATTTAACTTGAATATTCTTACTTTTGGAAACCTACAACTACTGTTTCTAGAAGTAGTAATTTTGATAATAGTCAATAGAAAAAATATAACCACACACATTGTTTGTCCACAGAATAATTACACATTGTTAAATAAAAAGCGTCCCGCACCACGAACCTCTACCTCCGCCAACAGCACCTCAATTTCAGACCATTTTTATAAATGAGGCCCCTGTTCTTTTGAAATTGCTTAATTCAGAAGCCAAGAGCCTCTAATCATGATTAAACCACAAACTTTACATGTACATATAGCAACATTTTAAAACACACACATATTTGGATGTAGCACATCTCTCATCCAAAAAATGTGCATGGGCAACACATGAAAACACATTATTTTTTACATTTCATTATTGGAAATATTGAGTCCTTGTAGAGAACTATATAACCACTTAATAGAAATAGTCAGTGCCGAAGTAGGCCTATATGTAAGATCCAAACGCACCCTGAAGGCTGTATTGCTTCATGGTTCTTTACGCAGAGCGCTGGAAAATTCCTCTGAGTGAAGCCAAGAGAATGTTCCTGTGATAAGACAAGCCACTGCTCAGGGTGACAGAGCAAATAAATGATTCAAAATAATTTCCCTGCAATCTACAGAGATCAAACAAACTGTGTAATAAGATTAACCACAGACTTCCACACACATGTATCATTATACATCCATAATGAGATGAGACTGTTGGGATATGGGAGTGTCTCCTTTTATAGATGTGTGCCTGTGAGGGTTTGTGTTGTGTGTGTTTCCGTAAGATGCCCTGACAGTGCATCTGGAAAGTATTCACAGCGCTTCACTTTTTCCATATTTTGTCATGTCACAGCCTTATTCCAAAATAGATTTAATTCATAATTTTCCTCAAAATGCTACAAACAATACCCCATAATGACAACGGGAAAGAAGTTTGTTTGAAATCTGTGCAAATTTATTAAAAATACAAAAAAATCACATGAAATATCAGTAGGCTACCCTTGTAATTAAGTGAGAAACATTTTGAAACGTAGTTTCTATCTTTGTCCACTAGAGGACAGCATTGATCCCAAAATGAATCACAGACGTTGGTTGTGGGCAAGTGAGGTTCATGTGAAGCCTATTACAGTATTTACATAGTGTTGCAGACATTGACAGATGTATTGTTTTTAAAGGAATGACAACACCTGTTGAATTGTGATTGTTATCTCTTTGAAATGAAGACCTGATAGGTGTATTCAGTTGCCTGTTGTAATTTTATATTACTTGATGGAAAATTCTCACATATCCTTTAGCACGAATCACTCATTGAGCTAATAAAAGAGCATTGTATCTAGTTGGAAATAAAGATGGAGATTTGCTTTGCATAATCATAATTCCATGCAGTTAGTTTGTGTTCTAAAATAATGACCACACCACATTTGCTTGTGGATTTTTTTTTTGACAGTTTGACAATATTTTGCAGGTTAAATTATAGTTATACATTTATCAGACTGATAACAAAAAATATTTAAAAATTATTTAAAAAAGAAAGTTCAGAGCATCACATCCCATTATTACAGGTGTTTTGTTCTTTGAACAGCATTTATTTGAATTAGGCTATATCATTCAGCTATAGTGAGCTACTTTCTGTCCCTGGAAGTTACAATTTCCTTACAATAACATATCACATTATTCTTTCGGTTTTCATTATTTAAAATGCAAGGTGCATACTGACTGTCAGCATCTATCCTTTCACTGGAAAGTCTCTCACGGTCAGATTTGCATTGTTCTATATTTAGTCAAAAAGAAAAGTCACGTATTGTTAATTTAAAAACGCCTTACATTTCTAGAGCTGTGCATAACGTAATGCCTGTCCACATTCATGCAGATATTATTAAGAGATATATTAGAGTTTGATACCTTGATGCCATAACATTTGTTGTATTTTATGAAACTGTTTTAGTAAGTGTTTGAGACATTATCTACTCAGACATGCAGTCAGAAAAAGTTGAGTGATTTTTTTTAGCACATATTAGCACATTTGCCCTCATCATTTACAAACTACATGGTCTTTTATTTGAAGGGTTTCATGTTAATTTCAGTGGCTGGCACACACAGAGGTGAGCATAATTGATGTCACAAAGATTGGTAACTTGTCAAGCTGATTCTCCCTCACCATCTGTGCAAGTGCCAAGTTATTATCAGTGTGGAATACTGTTTAAACAAGTGGCGCCAGATAAATGGAGTGGCATAGCTGTGTATTATCATATTGACAGTGAAATAACATCTTGATCTTTGTTTTTATGACTGCTTGCTCATCTTTATGTCCAATGTTTTACTATGTATATATATATATATATATATATATATATATATATATATAGTGCAAATATTTACTTTTATATTTACTTTTAAATTATTTATTTTTAAAGTTTTAAAGTGACAAAAAAAAACTAGTAAATATTTGTTCAATGTTACTAAAAATCGACCCCTTGGAACACTGACCATTTTGACCTTAATAAATACACACATGTATGTATGCATAACAAAAAGTCTAGGCTAAGTATATCTGCTAACACGATATCTAGCATTTCTATCTGATAATACTATTATAAAGACAGAAATGGGTGGAGGAGAGCCTCCGGTGAGTGGTGGTTAATATTGCAGACCTCTGAGGCCACAGATAGCACTTTAAATATATATATATATATATATATATATATATATATATATAAAAGATCCAGTATGGTGCTTTGAGTGTCTCAAAACCATGTGTGCCATTGGTACTATATTTGGAGGGAAATTATATATTTTTACACTACCGTTCAAAAGTTATCATGCGTATCACAGTTTCCACAAAAATATGAAGCAGCACAACTGTTTTTAACGTACATAATAGTAATAAGTGTTTATTGAGCATCAAAGAAGCATATTAGAATGATTTCTGAAGGATCATGTGACACTGAAGACTGGAGTAATGATGCTGAAGACTTTGCCATCACAGGAATAAATGACATTTAAAAATATATTGGAACAAAAAACAGTTATTTTAAATTGTAATAGTTCTTTCTTATTTCTTGCTTTCTTTCTTTCTTTATTCATTTGAATTGTATTTTATCATTACACATGAAAACCACAACATACAGGTTTGGAACTACATGCGGATAATACTGACGAATTTTTCATTTTAAGGCACTATTCTCTTATTTATATTCCTACACGTTTAAATATTTTGTCTAAAAATGTTATTCAATATATTAACTGAACATTAACTGTATATTTATTGAACTATTGTTTGAAAGCTATATCTCGCTTGAATTTGTGTTTATCTGTGGCCCTCAGCTGAATTACACAAAACTTGACTTTCCAAACACTGTCAGAATTTTTTCATTTTGATTTTTATGATCTCTAATCTCTATTTCATCCCCCCCCCATGATTAGATGTGTGGTGTAAAACATCCATCATGTCAGGAATGTTGACAGATTTCTTATTAATCTGACACAAGCAAAATAATCTCCTGTCTTTGTATTTTTAGATAACCAAATATTTTTTCAGGACAAATTTACAATCACATTTACATTTTGGGTTTCTAGTAAGTGACACACTTAGCGTGAGAAGAGATTACATGAGAGATGGAAAAATATCCATCTGGAAGAGGTGGTACCCATGTAGAAACAGGAAGGCGTGCACATGAGTCACTCATAGAGAGGACAAAAACGTTAATCTTTGTTTTGGCAGTCGCACCGTCCAAACAACCCTAGATGAAAAGTCACTAAAATAACTTACATACAAACTCCAGGGCATTTGAATTCACTGTGTAGACATAAGGCTTCACCAGTGAGAGCTGATGTATCAGATCTTCATTTCTGGTCCACAATTATCCCTCATTCTGAAACACTGCATCAAGTAAAGGCATCCTTTGTGGTTTTAACTAATTTTATAATGTAAGTAAGTAAACTGCCAATATAACTTGAACGGTGCTCTAATGCTAAGCAAAGGTGTATGAGAATCACACCATGCTATAATAAAAACCCCAAATGACCAGCAAAGGTTAGTCTTGACATTACCAACGATGATGGCGTGTCATTCGTGCTTGCTCCTAGCTAATCTGGAAGGTTGATGCAAATGCCTGAAAAACGTCCTGGCAATTATTTGCATGCAAACAAATGTGTGAGGGTCATTTCAAAAGCTGACTTCTGATCAGCATCTATAGTATAGTTCACTACAGCGGAGTTGGATTTTGTGTCTTTGGTATAATGGTCAAATTCAGCTGGAGTTTGGGAGCAGACAAAGTTGTTTCACTGGGATAGATAGCTGACTATATTTCCTGCCACTTACATCTGAGGTATCTGCATCATGGAAACGGGTAAGGTGTAGTTTTACCTGTTCTTGGTATTTAAAAACTCTGTAGCTTGAGCTCAGTTTTTTGTCATGCTGTTTAATTTGAAGGTTAAGATTAATCTTCTTGGAATGATTGAACTACATCACTTAATATTAAACTCTAACGATAACCGTTCTGATTACTTAATTACAAGACAACTTCATGATAGACATAGCTCAGTGTACTTTGAAGCAGTTTTAACTTGCTTATAATACAGAAAATTGCAACAAATTTATATATCAGACAGTCTTCGATGCTTGTAAGTGGCAGCAGAACTTCAGAGCTCCTCAACTTCATTCATGAAGCTGGAGTCTTTTACATAACGCTACAATCATTTTTGCATGCAATTTCCTATCACAGACATTTTTAAATGGCAAATACACTGTTCTGTTGACTAGGATCTTTGCTTCCCAGGAATCGTCTTATTGTATTTTCTGGAAATGTACTTCAACATCAATGCTGAATGATGACCTTGTTTTGCTCCGTTTGCATCTTCCTCCATTAACTATGAGGCATATTTGACATAAACATAAAAGTGGTGTTTCAACTGGACGGAGTTAGTGTTTGTAAACTGATCAATTTGCATTGACCATAAACCAAAGATAATTTCCATGCCAGTTACAGATGCATGCCATAAAACTGACTAGAGATACTGAACCTGCTCGAAAATGAAGCTGCAAATGAGAAATTTGAAGAAACACTTGTGATAATAAATGGGCAGTTATTAAACAAACCAGAGCTTCGGTCTGAATACTATCAAAAGCTGTATTTGTGTGCAACTGTGAATTCATTTGACTGACATTCACCCATATGATTAATAACCTACACAAACGGAATAACATCAGGCATCCACCATTAATCAGCTACGTTTTTCCATGTTTACAAGTACCTTATGCTCTCTGTGTATTTCTGCAGAGTTCTCGAAGAGAGTGTATCAGGGAGTCAGGGTGAAGCACACAGTGAAAGATCTGCTGGCAGAAAAGAGGTCACGGCAGACGAGCGGCCCGCGCTACGCTGTAAGTCCACCGCTTAATCGTACCTGGTCAATACCCTCAACTGAAACATACCCCGCCCTGTCATTCACAATGCTTCCTTTCACTCCATTCACCCTGCCACTCTGCTCTTCTTTCATATATGCAAACAGACAGTTTAAAACAGTTGGTATATTCTGTGCCCGGCCACTTTATTCGCTCGTTGGCTTATGTTTTTTATTCTAATGATGAACCTATGGCCTCTGATACAAACCCTCGGAGTCTCGTCCTTTTCTCACACGGGTGGGATGAAGCAAAGCCCGTTAGTGAATACCTGCACATAAGCGGCAAACAATAGCAGCAGTGCTGATGGTCATGAGCGGCTGAGGTTTGGGAGTCAGCCATTCTTTTGCTGCTGTAGTATGGCTATGCAAAGTCAAACACTCGCACACCTGCTCCACTGTATTGTTCCTCCTGTAGACCACAGACAAGTCGCCTGTTGTCACTCTAGACAAGCACAAATCAGACTTGCAGACATCTGGCTGCACAAGAGAGAACGCTTTTTTCCATGTCAATGGCATGCTGAACTCGCTTTTGTTTGAATAAGTAGCATAATGGCTTCTGTCTCGCCACTGTACAAACTAATAGTAATGCAAAATTTTAAAACATTGTATTTGTATTTAATTTAAGGCTGTCAAATCGTGATTAATCGCATCCAAAATAAAAGTTTGTGTTTACATAATATGTGTGTGTACTGCATATATTTATATGTATATTTAAAAACACATACATACATGTATATATTTAAGAAATATATGTAATATATATTTATATTTATATATAATATAAATCATACATAAATATGAATATATATATATAAAAATATTAAATATATACATGTATGTTTGTTTATTTAAACATGTAAATATATACAGTACACACACATATATTATGTAAACACAAATTTTTACTTTGGATGTGATTAATCACGATTAAACGATTTGACAGTCCTAAATAATACTTAAACAATATTAAGTATTGTGAAAATAAAATTAACCTTTCTAAAAAGTGACAATTATTAACACATTAAATGTTTTTAAATTCTTAAATGTTTAAAAAAAATTATACATATACATACGCAGTTGTGGTCAAAATTTATAAAATATAAAAAATAACATGTATTTTGTACAATCCCTCCTATGTGGGTAAAATAATTTACATTTTGCAGATATTGTATGTATAATTTTGACCACTATGTGTATGTGTGTGTGTGTATACTTTAATTTTAAGTATAGTTAATTAAGTATGCTTACTTTTTAAACTAATATTATAATATTTACTTCTTATATATTCTTTAATATTTGCTTCTTATTACTCTTTAAATTATATAATATATACATATATTCAATGAATAAAATGATATATATATATATATGTACTGTATATATAAACATTAATTGTAATATTTCATATATATTATTATATATAGTATAATAACATATATTATATTGTATAATTTTTTATATTATATATATGTGACAATTGTGACTTCAGATTTCCATGTTTGATGTATTCTTGGTTCTTTGTGCCGTGACTGGTAATTAATCTTTTGTATGTTATGCACCAGCTGAAAAGTAACTATGTTTTCGAAAAATAATAAAAAGACGTGTATATAGGTGTTAATCATTGTGATCCCACAGGGACACGACTGAGACCAAACACATACCACAATGGCAGAGCAGGGGGAGGGTTGCACAGGAGAATCAGAGCATGTCGAGGCCACGCAGAACAAAAATTGCTTTATAATAAGCTTACATCTGTATCTATGGCCTTTTATTTGGGGTTGAAGAGCCATCTGCAGACTTCAGCAAATGCTGTCCACAGAAGTCATGTCCAAACACAGGACCAAAACAATACAGACACTTGCCAGGGGTTCCAGACGAACAATAGTAAAATACTACTCTTGTATAATCTTTGGTCAAAGAAAAATGTTTAAATAAAAGTTGCATGGTTCAGAGGATAACAAACATTTCACAGTAAGAGCTGATATTACAGAATGTGATTAGATTTTATTTTACATATTGTTTTAAGTATTGTGCTACTAGTCAGTGTTATTTTAGTAGGATTGAGATACTACATACTACATATATTTTATTAATATTTACATTTTTTTCATTTTAGTTTTTAATTTAGTAACATTTTTTATAAAATGCCAACATAGTTTGTATACATTTTTATTTCAATTTTAGTTTAGTTATTTTAGTGCATCAAGTAAAAAAAAAAAAAAAAAGGAATGTTGCATTGGCAGCTAACTGAAAAAAAGCAAACAAATAAAATATAAACAAAAAAATAAGGTCAAGCACGAATCGTAACAGCCATTTCAAAATGATTTCAAAAAGTAAAAGAATATGATTTATGAAACAGAACAGGAACCCCCCCCCCCAAACAAACTGGGAATCACACAAATTTTGCATCTACACTAAAATGTCCCTTTATTTCTAGCAACATGGCATAAGCAAATACTTTCCATATAATACTTGTGGACATAATACATATTGTCCAGGCGTCAATTCAAAAAGCAGAGTCCTGGTAAATATGAAAAGCGAAAAAAGTGCCTGACATCTTAATGCACAGAATCTTCATTTTACTGTTTCACACTCTTGTACAGTACACTCTTAAAACTAAAGGTGCTTCACGATGCCATAGAAGAACCTTTTTGTCTAAATGGTTCCATAAAGAACCTTTAACATCTGAAGAACCTTTCTGTTTCACAAATGGTTCTTTGTGGTGAAAAAAGGTTCTTCAGATTATAAAAAGGTAAGAAAGAGATGGTTCTTTAAAGAACCTTTGACTGAATGGTTCTTTGTGGAACCAAAAATGGTTCTTCTATGGCATCGCTGTGAAGAACCTTTTGAAGCACCTTTATTTTTAAGAGTGTAGAGTTATTTCATTGCTGGCTCGAGAGGCTCTCCACCCCGAAAACCACCAACCCCCTCACTTCCACCTACTCCAGCTTGGTTTATCTTGAGGCTGAATCAGGTGGAGTACCACAGCCTTTCTAGCTCTTCATCAGCCTGATTTCCATACCATGCCTTCAAAGAGGCACTGAGGCGTAGGTTGTTCACATAGGGAAGTCTTGGGGCGAGCAAATGACATTCAAATACTAGCCTCAAAATTTGCTTGCCCTCCAGCCAGTGCTGCCTTGATATCAGCTCTTTTATGCTTGTAATATGCAAAACGAAAGAGAGCCTGTGTCTGTCTATTGCCTCACCAATAACTCTCAACCATTTAATAGCAAAATTGTATGCTACAAATCTCTAAGTCCCACTGGCGTTTTAGTAGTAGAAGAACTGTACCTTAACTAGTCGCATCCTCTAGTCTTGCAAAACTGGTTGGAAGAGAAAATGAGATACAATACATTTGTGTTTTAGAGTCTGCATTGATGAATATCATTGTGTTTTAGATTTTTGTTTTTCATCGGATCAGGTTGTTTGATTTGAACACTTGCAAGTGAGGCACTCTTTGCAATCTCGCTGAGATTTCTGGCAGTTCAATAGATGTATGCAAATATTAGCTTGTCGTGTGCCATTAAGACTGGATTGCATTAGTCAAATGAGCTAAATAATCACAGAAAACTGATGGTTAATGTGGAAAGTGATGATATCAACCTTTTTTTCTAGGGTGTCTCATCTCCTCCGAGTCCGTTTGTTCAAATGACTGGTGAGTCACCAAACACTTCACAAGTCTATTTAATTCAGAAATGTGCAATGCCATTTCTAGATATACTGTAAATACGGTCTTGGTCATGAAATATTTTCATGTAATGATCAAGATTGTTGTGGTCTCTTCAGGTTCTCACATGCTTCCGAGTTACTACGGCATGAGAAGACCTTTCATTGCAGACACAGAGTTTTGTTCCTCAACGAAACCCTTTTCTACTGATGTCTACCCCTCTTCGCTAATGGGAAAGTCTCTCTCGTGTGACACCGGATGCGTGTCTGGTTATTCCTCGCTTATAGACAGCTACTACCCGGAGTCTTTTGGCGACTACCGCAGCACATCTTTCTCCAGCGGAGGAAGTACGATATTCTCGCCCTCTGCATTGTCTTCTTTGCTTCCTTCTTACTCCAGTGACTCATCGCATTATTTGCTGGTAAGATATGGCACATGGAGTGAGGTGGCACAGTAACAAATATATATATATATATATATATAATGTCAGTGATGTTTAAATGTAGCCAAAATCATTCATATGGTGTGTCCATCTGTCCAAGTCTACAAGTGCGGGACAACATTTGTTCTGCTTTGTGATAGAAATATTTAGTAGTTCAGCCATTTTTAAGCTATAAAGGAACTTTTTTTGCTTTTATTTCCATATGGGACAAAGTTCAAATGAATCAATGAATTAAATAAGTTTGCAGGCAGTTTTCATCTAAGTTAGTACAAGTTTTTAGAAAACACAATACAATTTTGTAATTAATTTTAAAAACATTTCAATATTACATTATTATTATTATCACATTTTATATGTTTATATAGTTACAATTAAATATATCTTTTCATTTGATTAATTTATTTCAAATTAACATTTGCATAAAACATTTTCAAAGTTTTATCATTTTTTTTGGGGGGGGGGGGTAAAAATATAAAAAATTTAGTAGTCATTTTAGTATATAAAATATAGTATTAATTTGTAAGATATATTGTATATACTTTATTATATTTATTTATAAATATTTTTCAGTTTCATCCAAGTATTATACGTTTTAGTAAAAGAAAAGAAAAGTATAATAATTAAAAATAATTGTTTATTTTATGGGCATATGGGACCAAGTTCAAATGAATCAATAAGTTAAATAAGTTATTACAGGCGGTTTTAACCAAATAGTACACATTTTCAGAAAAATATTTTAAAAAAAAGTTTTAAATAAATGTATATTTATATATATAAATGTATATTTAATATTTTTGTACTGAAAACTAATTAAAAATAAAGTTTGCAGTCATTCAAGTATTTAAATAATTTACAAACATATTTTATTTTATTTCATAAGTTTATTCTGGCCTTGACCAGTTCTTCTAAACAGTTCTCACTTTACAACATCATACTGGATTTTTGTGTGCTGTGCCATTCTTTTGTGTATATTTTTCACATTTTTATCTGTTGTCTGTTATCTCTTCCATCGCTATTCATCTTGTTCGAAAATATCTTGTCTTTAGTACAAGGAGATACAGCAAGCTTTTGAATTTAGTGTCTTTGTGACTTAAGAGAACATTGTAATAATCTGTGATGTAAATCGCTGGCACCTCAGACTTGAGGGTAATGAATTCTTGCTTATGTTCACTGCAGAGGGACCCTTGGGAGCCCACGGGGAGCGACGGGGTGGAGGGTTTGTGTGGAGATGCTCTGGCTCCCATGCCCCTGTCTACACCCAGTTCTCTGGTCAACCCCGAGACCGTCAGCCCGACCCAGTTCCGCTCATCATCCCGGGGCTCTAGCATGACGTCTTCACAGTCGTACTCTCTCCATTCACTGGATGAAGTCAATTATCACTCCTCGTTTCAAACCACCTCTGGCAGCTTTGCTTCCCTTTCATTCATGACTGAGCCTGCATCCAAACTAGTGCCAGTACTACCCTCAGAAGATACTGAAAATGCCCCTTCAGCCTTGAGCGACAGCCTGGCTTGGGGCAAGGAGGACACTGCTAGCACTTGGTCACATTATGAGGTCAGGAGGGCATTCTGAGATTGAACTGGAAGGAAATAAAGGCTTTCCAGCCTTGCAGATCAACACCTCTTCAATACACAACAATTAGCACTCAAATCTTTTTGCCAGTTTTACTTAGCTTAACATTGGGGAACAAATTATATAAATCTTTGATTTAATGATTTATTTGTATCATTTATTATAATTGTATCTTCTTTTTTTGTCATCACAACTTATATTGTGTCAGCTGGATAATTAGGATAATAATCAGTATAAGGTGTCTGTTTATTCAAATTTTTATTACTGTGACACATAAGTGACTGTGAGTCTATATAAATGTTATTATCTGCAAACGTTAAGTGTTACAATATTTATAGTCGCTGTGTAATATCTAGCTAGTCCTATTTCTCTTCTTGTGACTCTTCAAAGACCTGTTGTGAAAATGGTCTAAAAGGTAAATAAACTAGAATTACAAAAAAAAAGCATTCTCGTAACTCTACAAGCACGATGGAATTCAAAGAATTATAAAAAAAGTTATAAACAACAGAAAAAAACATTATATTTAATGAAATCTCATTTTATTGAACGATTAAATATACAAACATTTTCAGGACAACAAAAACATTAAAACAAGTTTTTCATTAATATATTAATATTTTTTCAAATACAATTTAGAGGATTAGGAAAAATACATAACAACAGATTTCTTTTTTTATTCTTTTTTTTAATTCATTTTTTTAGATAAAGAGATGTAAGTCAGTTCAATTCTAAAGTAAGAGTCTTTCAGGAACTTTTTATGTACATACAATATATACCATATAAAACTAATAAATTGACCTAAAATTGATTGATCTATCAGATGCTGTCCTATAATAACAAATATTTTTTTAAGCTTAAAAGAAAAAAAAAATTCAGAAGGATTGCTGAAATAATAGCACAAATCAGACCCAAATTCACAATATTCACAATTAAATAATAATAATAATAACAATCAGAATCAGAATGAGCTTTATTGCCAGGTATGTTTTCACATACGAGGAATTTGTTTTCATGACAGAAGCTTCCGCCGTGCAACAGAATGACAGCAACAGAACAAAAACACAGATAATAAAAGAAGAATAAATAATAAAAAAAGAACAAGTAAATAAGGAATAACAATATATAAATTGACAGTTGTATGTGCAGGTATATTACAATAGACAGTTTTGTATGTACAAGTATATTATGTGCAAATTAATAATAAACAATAAAACTGCTATCAAGTTGAAAGCTTACAGGCAATAATTTAAAGCAGATTTCTTTGAATTAGAGTAGGCTACTGATTCAATAGTCATATGCAATAGCAATATATATTATTATTTATTATTATTATTTTAACCAGTAGAATTTACCTCTGCGTGTGAAAAGTTTGGAGAAATTGCTGAAAGTGCATTACATTTATTGCCAAATAAACGAATTATGCTTTATATTCATATAAACGGAGTCCGATGAAATAGTTACACGCAATCCTCTTGCGACATGGCCTGCAGTTCTCCCGTTTCATCAGTAGGGGGCGACATTCAACTATCTCGTAGTAAGCGACCTCCACAACCCGGTTGAAATCTTTCTTAAGAGATTTTTTTAGGATTATGGAAAATCTGTTCATTAATTTGACTGATAATAAAGGGCTGGTAAGAAAACAATATTTTGAAACTGGAGGCCTATCTGCAGCGGATTAACTTTACAAAACAATTTCACAAAGGCATATTCTTCCACATAGTCTGCCGAGACAGAGTTTAAATGAAGACTTACCAAGGTGTTTGAAGATGTATTTATAAAGTACCCCATCTTTTTTTCAATACTTAAATCTCTAATTATTCTGCCGTTTCGAACGAAATGTTCGATTTGTCTGTACTACATGTCACATGGAGCCATTTTCGGGCTTCTCTTCTAAGACAAAGAACATCGGCATGTAGGTTAATCATTCTACATGCGTTCAGTCTTAAATACTCGACAGTTAAATCTGACACGCGTAAATAAACAACGGCATTATGATTTCAGAGGTCTCGAAATGTAAATGTGCCACTTGAAACTTTTCATTTAAATGAGGCTATTTCAGAAATAAAAGTGTGTGGGTGTGAGATTCTGTTTGAGATCAGCACCACACAGCATCAAACAACACCCTACTTATATATTTTTTAAGCATTTAAATGATGATAATATGCAATGATCAATTAAACTGATGCATTAAAACAAAAATACCCTGAGAAAAGAAATTAATAAATATTATTGTGAACACTGATGGTTTAAGTCTCAGTTAACTTGACTTTTGATTTTTAAGAAATGCCGAGGACCCTTTCAATTAAATATATAATTATAATTGAATTTATTTCATATTCAGCTTTGTTATACCTGCCTCCACTGTCCTAATACCTTGACTTTAGCAGACGTCCCAATTGTTCTGATGACAAACATGGCTGCTTTCATATGCCACGCCCACCACTCCAAAAATTCTTAAAATACTGCCTAAATTTGTTCCACAAGACGCAATATTTAATTTTTGTGATAAGACTACCTATTACAGAAGATATTTACAATGTGTCATGGCATGTAAAACTTAATTTGAGCCTTCAGTCTCCCTGCAAAGTTGAAATAGTGCTTTTAAGTGAGACTCCAACCATCAACACCAAAAGGATGATAAGATGTTAAAAATATATATTTGGTTGATGTCAAAATGTGAAATAACACAACATTCTATTAAAAGAGATGTTGTTATATGCACTGTAATAGCGAATATCACTCAGAAATAAGTCTTTTTATGAAGCCTTTGAATATTCAAATTGAAAGTATAGCGCAATCAAATCATTGTCAAATCATTGAGTTCTTGGGCTTTTAAATAGTAGGGATGAGGGGAGAAAAACTCAAACTAAAATATCCCTAGCTATATTACTGTGTAATTGTATATGTCCTGAGAGTGTTTTGAGGTTACTTTATTGAGACTTTTGAAGACTTTTGTGAATAATTCGTTCTTGCCCATATAATAGAGCAAAGAACTGACGTTGGGGTGTTTTACTGTAGCTCTGCCAGAGATTTCCTCCTTTTCAGACCAATATGTCTGGTAAGTAAAAATTCATTTTTCTTTCATATAAGATGTTTTCTTCTTCAGCAACCTGAAAAACATTGAGAGAAAAAAAGATATTATTTAAAATCATTAAATACATTGGTAAACGTTTCTTGGAAATGTATAGGTCAAAACTTCAGTCTTATACTAATATTTTAAAACAGCAAACACATAAGAAGGATTACATTTAAACAAATTTGTGCATTTTTATATAATCAATTAATTGAATAAATGTGCTTTCTGAAATTGATTTCTTGCAGTTTAATGGGAATATTAATATTTCTGGTGATTAATTCAAGCTCACGTTTTATTTATAGCTTGAATTATCTGTCTGCCTTGTATTTTTTGCTCAACTTTTCTTCAAGCAAAACTGAACATGGATTTATCTGAAGATTTATTTACTGTGTTATTTTAAACTTTACGATGTCGACCATCGTGTCAACTGAATGCAATGATTTCCTGAATAACTAACTGTAAACGATGACTGAATATAATTTCGACATTTTAACCAGAATCCAAACTTTTCTTCAGAGCGCATACGAATAGACTACATATTAAAATAGGTTTAGCTGTCAATGAGCCCATTAAAACACAGCCGAGGGACGTTTTTGCTGTCTTCTCAAGCTCAGCGCACTTTTTGCCCTCTGTAAACTCAACTGCCTCCATGAACTCAGCCATGGCGTGGCGTTGTTTTGAGTTACTTATGTTCAGACAGAATTTTTATGTATACTAGCTATATTAACAGGGATCAGGAAGACGTCCCACTGTGCATGTCTTCACGGGACCGAACAACCAATTAAAAAATTAGGAAAGAAGGACAACTATTTTCCATCTATTTTTGCACATTTCATTTTGGGGGAAGCTTTTAGGCGCGGCTTCACTCATATAGGAAGAGATAAGAGGACTGCCCATTAACTATATCAAGAAATAACTTCACATTTACCAAGCTGATCGCAAAAACTAACTTGGACCCCGGACGTTTTTAGGGAATTTAAAACAACTGTTGCTTATCGACAGCGGCAAATCTAAACGGGTTTTCTGTTGGACTCCGGCTTGAGTTTACCATCTATTTTTCAATGTACATTCTCTGTTCTCTTGTATGCGGCTTTTGCTGTAAGAAGAGTGTTTACTTACGGTTGTAATTCGTAGAGGCGTCTACCGAGGAAGCTTCTCTTTCTCCTCGTCTCGCAAGCAGAGTTTTACAGTATTTTTACTTCGCTCCCGCGAACCCAACTTTGTGCGCCTTGTGCTCTCGAGTGAAACTGTCAATAATTAGATTAGGGTAGGCTTAGCTTACTCGCCAGTTTAGTCGGGTTTTTACAGCTATAAGAAACTTTAGACTGCTCGAACTCCAAATTAAAACCGTCGTCCCGAGTCAAAGATGGCTGGAGAGCATGTTTCTCGAAATGCTCTACAGTTTATTGTAATGCGAAACTAACCAATTCACTGCCGGATCACTAGTGCGCTCAGACAAATGGAGTCTTAACTGGGAAGACGAGCATAGTTTTTCTAATCTTGTGGGATATCTTATATTTATTGGCGTTTTCCAATGGCATATGGAAAAAAGCGAACGCTATCTGTGTATGGTGAAAGAGGGGCAGTGACAAATAAGGACGTCGAAGATTATAAATAGGAGAAATATTCTAAAGATCTACTAAATAGATGTGCCAATAAGGTCTTGATGTAATCTCTGTATTAGTGTTGCTTCATTCATTTTCATTCATTAAAAACATTGTTTAGAAATATTTTCGTTTAATGACTCTAAAATGTCAAGTGGTGTAACCATTAAGTAAAAAGTGGCAAAATAGTAGGCTACTTTCCTTGCAACTTCATTATTTTGACATGAGATCGGTTTTTTTTTCTCAAAACAGTTTTAAACACATTTTACACAACGTAAAACAACTAAATTGCTTCCCACACAGACATTTATTTTCATTATAGGTAGAAATGCTATAATGTCAACATATTTGACTTTGAAGCCCCACAATTATATATATATATAAACAAACAAGAACTGAATAAATCTCTTCTATGAAGAACATGCA